GTCCCCCCACCGCGGTACCCGTGCCGGCGTGGGCAGCCGGCGCAGGGGACGAGCCGCCCGGCATGGAGCCGCCGGGCTGGGTCAGAGCCACCGTGGCCCCAGAGGCTGCTCCCACCAGCAATGCACGGGGGAAAAAGGGAGCAGGGAGACCAGCGATGCGCGTGGAAAGGAGATAAAAGGAGAGGCCCGTTCGGCCTCTTTAGGCCTGTTCCTCCACAAACTTTGCAGAGAGTGGGGGTGGGTGCCCAGCATCGGGGTATTGGTGGGGTGACCTTTGCAGCAGACTTCTTTAATTCCTCCCCTGGCAATGTTCCCCCCTCAGCTTGCTGACTAATATCCACGTAGGAAATAACCAGAGATGAAACTGTGCCATTTACTGGCTCTTGAAGCCAGCCTTGGTGCACCAGCAATTTCGGAAAGCATCAGGGGGAAATTAATAACTGGGGTGAAGGATGCTTTTCTCATGATGATTTCATGATTTTCCAGGCTTTCTGAAATGATCTGCATGGCTGGGGCTGGCTCTCGTCTCGCTTTCAAACACAGCACCGGGCAGGAGAGTGGACAGGGATGCAGCCCACTAATTTGGGATGGCCAAGGAGGGAGTTTTCTGAACCAGAGCAGGCAGGGCTCTGAGTCTGGGCTCACAGCCTGTCCCGGATCCTCTTTTATAGTCTCCTCCAGGCACTTCAGCTTTGCCCCTTTCTCATGAGCTGCTTGGGATAAAGAGCAAGTCTGTGCTCTTGGGATCTGGCCCCTTCCTGTCACCCTTGCATGCAGCCCGGCCTGGCCTGGCCTGAGGCCACCACACTGCCTAGCATGGTTGCAAGGGAAGTGCTTTTCACCCGACACAACGGAGCTGGCTGGATTTGAGGTAGTTACTGCCTGTTCCTTTGTAATTTCCCAATTTCCCATTTGGGGAAAAAAAAAAAAGAATTCTGAAAAATGTGGAGGGTTTCATTAAAAATAAACCCTGGAAAATGTGAAAGTTGATCCCAAGGAGGCTTTTCCTCCCAGAGGCTTCGTGCCTCCAAAACCACAGCATCGTTGGGGCACCCCAACCCTGTTCCTTTTGGAGACCTCCTCAGCCCCCATCTCAGCCGCACTCTGCTCAGTCATGCACAGGAGCTTGCCGTGAGCTTTATGAAAACCCCCACCAAGGGCCCCACACTGACACTTCTCCTCTGCCCAGACGACACGCAAAAATGAAAAATAATTCAGCCAGTCCTGCCAACTAAGCCCCTTGGAGAGGCGGAGGGCAGTGCCAGGGATTGAGCTGGAGCAGAGACATCAGTGTCCTGTCTCCGGAACGGAGCTGGTGAAGGAGAAGAGTCTGAACAGGCCATGTGCAGTGAGACTTTTCCCTCTTGCCTCCAGCAGCTCAGCCAAAAGTAGCATTTGTGAGTTTAAAAACCCTCATTGGATGTTTCTTCTATGAACATGTCTAAGCAATTTTATATGAACTTTTGGACTTCACAGATTTTTGGCCAGGAGCTCCTAGAATAACCCCCAGCTCCGTGCCCAAAGGCCCCGGAGAGATGGGACCTCGCGATCCCAATTCCGACGGCAATGCCGAGCTGTGGGACTGTAAGCCCTGGGCTCCCTGCCCGGTTCTGCTACCACCTCTTGCCTGGCCTGGAGAAAACCTTTCACAGCTTGTTTTACCCTCTCCAAAAAAGGAGGTGATGACACCACGCAGCTCTGATGGGTGTGGAGAGGGTTATTTAGCACTTGCAAAATGTTTTGGTTTCTAGTGGTGGAAGATGTGACAGGTATTACCACAGAGATTGCATCTCGCCGAGTTAGGGATTGGCAGGAAAAACTGGCTCATCATCCCTGCGCTGCACGGGCCCCGCGCCGTCACCCTGCATCTGGGGCTGGCGCCCGTCTCTGACTAAAATCATAACGCGATTGCTCACACTTTCCAACACACGCTCAAAATGAAGCGTAAGGGGATTGTTGTTATCCGGGGCGGGGAAGGCGGCGTGTCCACTAGAAAACAACAACTGCTAAGTTTAGACTGAAATGCAGAATTTTGTTGACGCATGCTGGGAAGAGCGCCTCACCGGGAAAGACCCCGAGGCCGAGAGCCGAGCCTTTCCCGCAGCGCCCTTCAACGCGGTGTGTCCCAGAGCCGCGACGGGGGTGTGTCCCGGAGCCGCGGGAACGGGGAAAGCGCGGGTTCTGCGGAAGGAAGGCAGGAACAGAAAACGTGCTTTTTTGGTGCCAGGCGAGCCTCGTGCCAGGCTCGTGCCTTGACGGAGCCACCCGCCAAGGAGCCACCGTCGTGGCCGGGCTCACCTGCCCGCTCAGTGCCGGCACCGGCACCAGCGCACCCCATATTTTTGCCAGTTGCTTCTCTGACCCTGGTTGACTCCCAGCTCTTCCCCCAGCATCAATTTAACACAGAGGCTGCATTTTCATTGATTTAACCCTGGATGCCCTTTGACTCAGGTGAAGTCCAGGGACGCAGGATGAGGCCCGCTACCCAGCCAGGAAGCGCAGGTGAGCGTGCAGAACCGCCGGCGTGCTCAGAAGAAACCGCAGGCGCAGGCGAGCCGGGAGCTCTCCAGCAGAGTGCTGATGGAAAGCTTGCTCCGCTGCAAGAGCGAGAACAGTTTTGTGTTTTTTCACCCTTTCTTGCTTGAGAGAAAAAAATAGAAAGAAAGAAAAAAGCCAAGTAAAGATCAGTCTTGCTGCACCGAAGCGCACGCAGCTGCAGCTGCGGGGAGAAGCGAGACGCGCGGCTCTCCAGCTGAAGGAAAACAGCCCAACGCCGGCACAAACCCAAGAGGCTGAAGCCCCGGCACCGGCTGCAGGGAGATCCTGCCGCCCCCCCTTCTCCACGTGGCCCTCAAACATAGCGATGAGGAATAAGCACAGGCAGGCCGGGACCCGTGCTCTCGTAATGCTCCCCGCTCATGCCGGCGAATCCCTTTCAGCCCAAACCAAGTGGATTGCACGTTTAGGGGTTAACAAAGCAGCCAGAAAGGAGATTTTTTTCCCCAGGCCAGCCCTGCTTCCCGCTGCTACCTGATTTAAACCGCAACAGCCAAACCTACAGGGTCATTGGAAGTAGCACGAATTGGGCTCATTAAAAAGAGGCAATGAGAAAATCCTGCCCCTAGCAAGGCCCTCGGCGCTGCGGCTGAAATGCTGGGATAGCAGGGAGGGGGTGCAGTGTCGAGGGGCTAAGCCCGGCCGGGAAAGGGCCAGGCAGAGGGGGACAGTGAGAGCAGGATGCCGCGGGAGGAAAGTAAGTGTTCAAACTAAAAAAAATCCATTGACGCTTTAAAAACCAATTTATCTGTCTTTGAGCTAGAATGTGGCTGACTGCATGGGGCAGTCCTTTTTCTCCTGTGCCATTTTCTACTTGGCCACTGAAAGAGAGAAGGGCTAAAAAGGAAGCAGAAAGAGGAAGACGTGAAAAACTCAGTCTGCTCCTCAAAGCTAAGATGCAAGAACTTCAGCAAGCACATTTTGCCCCCTTTTATTTCAGCACAAAAGTCCCTTTTCAGCAACAAGAAACTGCCCCAGCATGGCCAGCAGCTCTGCTGGCCATGAAAGTGCACACAAGGCCAGCCGAGGCGCCTGCCCAGCCTGCCGCTGCACAGGACAGTATCCTGTTTCGATATAAAATCACACGCCCTGTCCGCCAGCTGCAGCTGCCTGCAACAGCCCTGGCAAGGACCAGGGAGGGCTGGAGCCCTAGTGCCAGGGCAAGGGTCCTGCCGAACCCCGGTCTCCCTGCAGCAATCACCGTCGGGGCGTTCAGCTTGCACCCTGCAGCAGCCAGCAACACTCTGGGTGGTCAGGTCAAAGTGTCTAGGGTCGGTCCCAAAACGGCTTAAAATTATCTGGGGTATTTAAGGAGCACCGAAATCTTGGACAACGAACAAGAATGCGATGACCAGACACCTTGGATGTGGCCAGCTGAAGCCAAGACCTATGTGTCCTTGACCCCCAGGAAAAAAAAAAAAAAGAATCCCAAATGAGGAGGGAAATGTAAGTTACCACAAAAAGATACTGAGGAAGAGAAACCCACAGGCGTGCAATGTGCCCCCCCCCCAAACTTTTTAACTGAATTCACATCCATGGGTCGGAATCAGGCAGCAAGCAAGAGTGGCTGGGGCAAGAACAGGAAATGGTTAATAGTGTCTGCAATCAAATGCAGAAAGTGCTTGAGGTCTTTCAGATATTTCTCGGAAATTAGGAGGACCTGTGCAAAAGATTTGCATAAGATACGCCTGACCCTGCAGGGAAACGAACCCAGGCAGCTCTAACCCACACTGGATCACCAGCCCCAGTGGGTGTCGGGGTAGGGTTAGAGTGAGTAAACACCAGCTAAGCGGAGAAATTAAGTTGACGTTAGGGCATTAAATTGTTCTTTTACTTTTACCAAACGGAAATTTGCAGGGCCTTAGCATGGTAATTGTAATTATGATGAATCACCTGCACTGCTGGTGAAGGTGCACTGTGCAAGGTGCTGTATGTACGTGCCACAAGAGGTAGTCGCTGGCTTCAGCAAGGAAAGGTAGGTTGGCATTTCTGCTTATCGACAGCGCAGAGGCCCAGACCAACTGTACTAAGGGCTCTGACAGATCATTTCTAGGAAATGATGCTGAAGCACCCAGATCCTATGGAAATCAAAAGCTCTTGCTGCTCAGGATCTCAGTAGCCCATCTGCGCTCAGAGGGGTTTTGCAGCAGGACCAAGCGCAAGCCAGGATCCATCCGTGCTCGCAGACAGTGCGTTAACCCATGTGGCTGCCCTCTCGGAAAGCTCCTCACAGATTCTACCAGCCCATTTCTCCTCCTGCCCTTGGAAAAACTGCAGAAGTACTTCCCTGGCCCTCTGTGCAACTTCTTGTATGGACCAAACAATTTTTGGTGCTGATTCTTGAAAGTAAAGCAAGCGTTCACTCTGGGAAAGGCAGATACCCTTAATGAAGTCTTTAAAAGCTTTAACGTGTGCCAGACCTCCAACTCCAGCCCACAGCAACCCAACTCATCTCCAGGACCCGAGCAACACACTCCCTTACAGACACACCAGACTAAATTCCTGCCACTCCAAAGAGCATCTCCCCCTCTGAAATTTTCAGCCCTCTTCCCCTCCAGGATTGTAGAGGTCCAAGCTCCATGAGGTATCAATTACTGGGGAGAGACCCACGGTCCCCAATGCCCTCCTGGCTGCAGGAGCCCAATCCCCCTTTCCTGGGAGTCCCCCTGGTGCTGGCTCTGCCCCGTAGGACGACCTGCTCTCACCCACTTGTCCCGTGCATTTTTCCCCCGCGCCCTACTCATGACTGAGGGAGCTGCGTTTCAGCAGCAATCACGGCCCCAGCTCCCCGGCCAACAGAGGGGATGAGCATTAGTCGTTATTTGGTGGGGAAAAGCGTGGGTTTGGTCATGAGACACGCACTTCCATCAAGAGACGTCAAGGAAAGGCTGCACCACGCGCACCCAGACAGCTGCCAGGGTGCCCGCAAGACAAAGCGGCCCTGCAGCCCGGTCTGCGGGGACTGGCCTCCATCACAGCATCCACAGGGCTGAGCACCACTTCTTGGACTTGCAGCCTCCCCGCAGTCTCCGTCTTGGCCAGTCTAACACCAGCTTCAGGAGGTGAAGTTTGTTTCCTCCTGCCCTCCAGGGCACTCTAAGCTGCCACAACACGCTCCACCCCAGAGCCGGCTGCATTTTAGCGCTGTTTCCATTCTAACCTGGGTGAGCACTCGGAGGCTTTTCTGAGCAGTGTCACCAACTGCATGTAGGAAACTTGATCGAAGTGATTGCTGTATCAAGATAAACAAAAGAGGAAGCAGGATGTGAGCTTCTCAGAAGATGACTGTGTCACAAGCTGTTATATGCCAGCCGCCTTTGGGACAGAAAGCAGCTGTGGACAAGGAAGAGCATACAGTTGGTGGCAGGTGTGAGATATCTAGTTATTTGAAAACAGGAATTTTACGCCCGTCTTTAAGAGTTCACTTCCTGGAGCAAAACCCATGGCTGGCCTTAGACATTAGGGTAAGAGGACAAAACAGGCCGGGACCTCTGTGCTGAAGGATTGGGATGCACAGCCCAAATACAGGAAAGGAGCACAGTCACACTGTGTGCAAAAGCCCAAAGGCAAGGATGAGGGAAGTATGCTTTATAACAATGACTTCAGTGTTTGTTTTCTTCTGTCTTGCTTGGTCAGACATGGTCAGAGCAGCACCCCTCTACCCTTGTAGGACACCGGGCATCGTGAGCAGCGCTCGAGGGCTGGAGCTGCACACTTAGTGCTGAGAAACCAACAGACTGCTTCTGTCCAACTGAAGAGCTGGTCTTGCAAATATATGCGCGTGTGTCAGTTCCCACTAACGCACTAGGAACTTCTCTGTCCTGCTGGTACGGACACCACAAACACAAGCCACTGAAAGCCACCGTGTCTTTTGCCACAGCGAGGGAGGGGGCAGCAGCTCAGACTTTTAAGTCTTGCGGCGGAATTTGGGTACGGACATCAGTGCTATCTGGGTTTCAACAGAGCACAGGTGAAGTATGAGATACGTGAAGATCTCTTCCTGGCTGACGAGCAGGAGGCCGTATCTTTCACCATCAGCACTTCGGGCACATTCGACTTCCCGAATAATAGAACCATTGAACTATTTCTTTACAACAATAAAATATAGCTGTCAAAAACAAACCACCACCCCCACACCCAAACACACTCT